ACGTTTTTAATTTAGTTTCAATTAAACCTTAACTTATTTGAACAAAATTTCAGCCACGTAGGAATAAAAGTGTTGTTGCAAAGAATGAGCCCTTTCAAAAGAACGCCTTAATGATAGAGCAGCCGGTAGCTGTAACACCTTATAACCAAGAATACACGTATACCGTACGTCATTTAACTTGCACAAAATGGTAATATCATTTTTGTTAGTTTTACGTGAGATCCACTTTGCAGTAGTGAAGTTCATTTTTCAGTAGTTGCATTTGGTTGTGATATTTCCCGACGACACCAATGTTATCTATTGTGAGCGCGATACTGAGGTGTATATAAAGGAGTTCAACTTATGTTTAAAGAGATTTTTTATTCTTTTGTTTAACAGGGCGGCGTGTGGCTGAACTGGAAATGCATATTTTTCTGTCCCAGGTACGTGTACAATCTCTTTAGAGAAGGAATAATTGGATAGGAGGGGAGTGCCTTCTTCCGGCAACATCGGTTATTACCCGAGCAGAGAGTTTACTGACAGTTAAAATTGTTGTTGTTGTTGAATGTTTATAGTGGTCGATGCAGTTAGCTACAACTAGCTAGCTACCAGGCATGCCACTTAAACTGAAAGAAACAAATATTGCAAATAAACATAATAGGCTTAAGAATCCCAACTGGCGGGAGGCAGACTAGTTGGTTATTTGCAAGCGTGACCGAGGAGTTGAACTGGGGTCTACCAAGCAACAACTCCAGCGTAGTGGTCAGAGCGGGACTTGAACCCGCGACTGCCGGATTTCAAGTCCGGCGCCCTAACCACTAGGCTACGCTGCCTCCGCTAATATCGTCCGCTAATATTGTTATCGCCTTCTTTTCGCCTTATTACTGATGTTCGACTCGGGAACAACCAGTCGCAGGAATTCTGCGGAAAACTGAAGCTAGCCTGAAATGTCAGTCATCTTCCGCCTTCAGCCCAATCACCTGGGGGATTAAGCTGAGGGTGGGAGATGACTGATATTTCAGGCTATCTGGAGGCGTAGTTCCTTACCTTTAGTGGGCTTTGTTTTCTTTTAGTTGTGTTCTGGTTAATATTTTCATCACTTTGTCTTCTTCAGGTGTCACGAAGGTTCTGGATTGAATCCCTTAATGAAGTAAAACCAGTGAGTACTGGTGCTCTAAAGCCAGACAGGGAAGTCAAGCTGGCATTTGTAGATCGCTAAGCGATCGAGGGCACTGAGAAGACGTTGGATGAAAAATCAACTTCATCATTTTGTATACAGTCCAACCCCTATTAAGCGGTCACCTCTTAAACGGCCACCCCTATTAGGCGGTCAGTAATCAAAGTCCCGATGAGGGCTTCTTTATTGTTTTTACCTCTATTAAACGGCCAACCCCTTTTAAGCGGCCGGTATCCATTTCGCCGAGGGTGGTCGTTTAATAGGGGTTGAACCGTAGTTATCTGAGGAAAAACTAAAAAAAAAAAAAAAAAAATCAGGGCATCAACGGGATTCGAACCTGTGACCTTGATACATGTAACGCATCAAAAGTTTTCCGTCCACACTACGCCGAAGGAATTTAAAAACTCAACAATCACCGGTCGTTTTTGAATTTGTGTTTGAGGAAAACTCGGTGAGGCAAATCACATGGTTATCGTGACGTCATTGTTTTCAAAATGTTTTCCGTCCACACGAAAACGAATAGGCGGCGTTTTCAAGTTATTCCGGTTTGAAGAGCGTTTTCGAAAAGCTCCGTTTTCGTGACGGATCAGTGTGGACGGTAGGCCTAACAGTAGAAATAAAGCTGGTTTTCAAATTTCTCCGACGTAGTGTGGACACTGCCCCAAGCGACAAAAATTTTCTTTTTTTCTTTTTTTTGGTAGAATGTCTCTGAAGCGTAATGTTTCGATTAGTTTGAATATTCTTTTTCAGGGTTTTTGCTGCATTAAATATGGCGAACGGTTTCCTCTTGTCCATGTGCCACGCTATAGGCTGCTGGACAACGACAAAAGCTTATCAATTTTAATATGAATGAATCTTTTATTTTGTTGCTCGTTGCTATAATATGAATGCAAGTAGCATCAGTAATCGTATTATTTTGTAAGCAGTGTAAGAATTGGTATCGTAAGTTAAATAAGTAATGGTATCGTTTTGTAGATTGTTATGCAAATTGTATTATTTTAAGTAGCACCTGTAATTGCATTGTACTATAAGTAGTGTAAGTAGTGCGTAAGAAATTGAATTGTATAAAAAGTTTTCGGAATGTAATGGACTTTAGTAGTTGTATTACTGTTGTAAATTGTGGAGCGAGTGACGATTGGTTTTGGTTTTACTTCTGATTGGATGACAAAGAAGCGCGAGTTTTATGAGGCAATCGCTTGGCGTACCAATGCAAAACCAAAGCAAATGCGAATTTGCTTTTCTACACTCAAGTGAAGCATCTTTATCAAGTTGCATCGGCATCAGTTTTACCAGAGTATAGTTATATAGTCATTTGCATTTCTTGCATTTTCAAGCGCCATTCAAACTTCACTCTAAAATATAATTACATGGGAACGGTGTTTGATCATGAGTAGTGACTAGAAGTTACAGGAATAGAGCCTTTTTGTCATTGCTACAAATTTTAGCAATAGTTTTCTTGAAGCTTAAAGGGACACTGTCACCATTTTTAGCATGATTTTGGAAATCTCAAACACACATATCGATCTTTGGAAGCTGAACAATAATGGTTTTATTTTGTAGAGCAGTACTCGACAAATGATTAGAACCCATTAGGAAGTGAGGATGGCTAACGATGGCGAGGATGGAAACGGATTGTGATATGGATTTTTGAAAAAGCGTCAGGATGTCAGTTTTTCAAAGGTTTAAGTTTGGCTCGAAAATCGTTGAAATTTTGCAAAAATGTTGCTACACTGTGGACTTTCTTCAAGAAATTGCTTTTAATCATTTAGTCAGCGCTAATTAAATCCTTATTACATGAATTTAGGCCGGACCATTCCGTGAATTCAAGTTATAACAGTTTTAAGCAAGTACATCGTGACTGTGTCCCTGTAAAGAATCTTCAATCAATCTGAACGTTCTACATAATGGTTGCCAATAAACACGTCTTTAAATTTGAGTCGCACTATTTCTTTCTGAGAATATAGATGTATTAAAATAACCAAAGCACAGTCTACCAGGAGTCATGTTGACACAGAATACAAGGTCGAGTGATTTCTTTAAATTACTTGTCTGACGTTTCAAATTGATTGGCCGTTGGAGAAGAGATGGCAGCAGAGTACCCGCACCTCCGCCAATAAGATATGTTAAATATTTTGGGTGAATGATCGGATAATTCTCTACTAGCCTTAAGTTTCTAGTTTCTCATATCAGGACTAGTAGAATAGAAACTACTTAAGCCAGGAAAGCCTTGGAAACAATGATCGAAAGATGTAAATAACTTAAAGGCGTCTTTCGAAACCCGTCTCTGAAAGAAAGGAAAAATTCGTGTCCCGAGCAGGATTCGAACGCGCGTCTCCCCGCACACCAGTCGGGCGTGATATCTACAAAGCCATCGGAGCAACTTAGTGATGTGAGTAGATAGAACGCGGCCAAGCCAAGGGACATTTTCCTTCGAGACACTTGTGTGTTTCGTAGGTCCTCCCCAACAATATTGAGATTACGTTACAAGTAGAATAGAAACTGTTCTATTCTACTTGTTACCTAACTCTTAAGAGGCAGTGCGACCGACCTGCATGCAATCTGACCGTCCGTTATTCCGTCCCAAGCTGGATTTTTTTTTTCTCGGTGGACTAGTTCCCGTGTGAACAGTCCGCTGGTTACCCGAGCAGCCTGTTATGTCGGATTCTTAACAACGTTTTTATTTGAAATATTTTAAATTGGACTGCACGTTTTAAAATTACTGTGTATAAATAACTTTGTTTTACTTTTACAATTAACACAACGCTGGGATATTCTCATTATCCGTCAACAGTATTGACATGTAATAGTACTCCTGTTCTGGCCCTTCCTGACAGACTCATTCTCGACCCCAGAGCCCTTCTCTTTCAGTGGTGCATGACCGACCGCGCACCCTGTCGAGAGAGCGAAAGCTCTGGGGTGAAGAATGTGACTGACCGAGAAAGCTAGACTGCTGAACTATACCGGGAATTCACAAACATTATGTTCACTGCTTTAGAACAGAACAGAAACGGTTATATACCAAACACGAGAGACCGTGTTTCATCGAGATATCCAAACATCGAGAAGAGAGTTCAAAATGCGACGCGCACCGGAGCATTTTTGACGAAATTCTAGGTGTTTGGATAGCCGATGAAACATTGTCTCGAATATTTGATATATCTCCTCAATTGAAACAAATACTGAGGAGTAAACGCAGAAGTAAAATCGTCAAAATCTATGCTAATTAAGACCGGGTATCCAAACTTCCTTCACGGTTGTGATTTTCTTTGTTTTAACTTGATGAATTATTAATGAGTTTGAAAATTGTAGATAATAAAGTAGCCCGACTGGCATTTCATTCCTTTTGTCCATCTAAGCGCATCCAGTGAAATAGCAATGACAAAAACCAAAGAGGAGAGTTCGACAGTATCAACAAAAAAACAGCTGCTAAATCTGCTGATCTTTTAAAAGCATTTCATTATAACAGGTCAGGTCGATTAACGGAACTGTCGATAGTTTGATACAGTTTTACCAGCTTACCGCGATGATGATCCAAATATGGAATCTCGTTCATGATCATCCTCTTGCAAGTTTCGTTCAGTTCTTTGGGAAGATTTGCTTTCACTGCATAACCCTGCACTAACCTACCAGCGTATGGTTTGGTCAGAAACTTCCCTTCTCGTAGACAAACTACTTTAATGGATTCTAATTCTTTTCGAAAGAGCGCCAGATCCTTGTAGAAATCATCACCTTCTTCTTTTATCATTTCCCACAGCGTTTTGTTAAAAAAATCGTACAATAACACATCACCCGAGTTCCAAATCCGAATGTCCTCTTTCACTTTTCCCGGAAGATTTTGTTTATGTTTATCCATTCTTTCGTTGAGTTTAAAATACAAAATGTCCTCGATTTTCCAGCAAAAACGGCGTTTTAAGAGAACAAGCGATTCATCGAAGTATTCCATAAGCATAACCAGGTCAAACTCTTGTTGTAGAAACCGAATATAGTTTTGTACAACAGTTAAATTACTGTGATATTTTGTATCCAGACCCAGTTCAAAAAGCGCTGGATTCTTTATCAGATTTAACAAACCAGTAATGTTCTTGGCTTGTTTTAGATAAAATGTAGCATTTTGAAGGAACGTCTGCAGCGGTGACTTAACGTTTCGCAACCCCAGAAAACGTTTGTCTAGACGAAAAAAGTTGAAAACAGACTCAAAATGTTGAGTTGGTTCCCTCAAAAGCGTGATGTAACGTGTCGTTTCCTTTGGGAAGAGCCAGTTCATGGGAACCTTGTTGTACCTGGCGTGATTGCAGAGGATGTTTGGCGCTCTGCCAAACGCCTGCGCAAACCTAAGCTGAAACAGGCGTGGCCAGAAAAAGCTGTAGGTCACTCTCACAGAGGGTACGGCGAACATTAAATCCCTGCTATCACCATAACGGTTTAAAATATTAGTCACTGTGCTTGAGCCTGTCTTGTGCGTCTTGAGAAATAAAATGTTGTTTACAGGCTCGCATGTGGGTAGTGATGCATCCACCGCCTGATCGTCAGTAAGATAGTCGCGTGTCTTCGCTTTCAATAAGTCGTCATTTAGGTCCGTAATCACGGGCTTGCATGGAGGCGGCGTGTCGTTGTTTAAAGCGTCCCTGAAATCTTTCCCCTTGTCACCATTGCAGTTACATTTACCCAGTGTCGGTATTAAATCATCGTCCAGGATTCTTTTTCTAAACGAATAGATTGATAATAAGCACTGTAACCTGACACAAGGTAAGGTAAAGTCCCCGTTCGAAACTAGTGGCTCATACGAGGTGCGCTTAATTTCTGTTTCAAAGTGACTAGGAGTATTTTTACTTCCCGCTTGATTGGATTCTAGTCCACTGCAGGGTTACACCAGGCAGNCTCTGTCTATTGCAGGTTACTACACAGCGTTTGTTTTCACTGGTACCCATTTATACTCCTGGGTGGAGAGAGGCACTGTGAGAGTTAAGTGTCTTGCCCAAGAACACAACACAATGCCCCGAACCGCTCGATGTAAAATTGAGGGCGTAAACCGTTGGGTCGTACCAGTCCTTCCCGCGCCGATTATCTTACTAACGTTCTCTACAAATCGTACGAGCATCAAAACAAAAGAACAACGCCACAAGATTGAAAACAGGCTTTGGTATATAGTTGACCAGACTCGACCCAAGCCACCCAGGTATATTTAACTATTATTCCACGAGCGCGCGTTGGATATGACATGATAGACAGCTATAATTAACCATCTTATATCAAACAAGCACAAGTGGAATAACTGTTTTATTAAAAACGCTCCCAAAATATAGGAAACTAGAATACAAACAAAAAACGTCCCAAAAATCACAAGTGCGCTTACCATGCTCTACTAACTCTCTCTGACAACTCTTGAATTGCATTACACAGCGATCCAGTTTTCAAGTGATATATCAAACACGAGAGACAGTGTTTCATCGGGATATCCAAACACCGAGAGAAAATACGTAAATTTACGACGCGTAGCGGTGTATTTTTGAACAAAGTCGAGGTCTTTGGATAGCCGATGACACACTGTCTGGAGTGTTCGATATATCTTTTCAATCGAAACAAAAACTCAGGAGTAAACCGAGACGTAAAACGGTCAAAATCTATGCTAATTAAGAACGGGTATCCAAACTTCCTTCACGGTTGTGATTTTCTTTGTTTGAGAATAAAACGTATTACACGTCAATTACAATAAACGTTTGGGTGGAAATGATGAGGCCTAGGGGTACAAGGGATGCTGGGAAACGTAGTATGATATCCGGCATCGAATCCTTTCCTAATAGCAAAAGTATATTTGATTAAATGTGTTGAATGTTTCTCAGAATCATTTCGTAAGAAAAATTATCAACATCGGCTTCCCACAGAGATCACTCTTTAGCGCCTTGTTTACACATCTTCTGAAAATGGCAGACAGAAAATACTCCTATACTGTTTGTACATTGATCGAATTGCATTATAAACTTTTAATCGAACACCTTAAGTCGGTAACCACGATACTGAGTGTTTTAGAAAAACACATCTGTAAAGAATTTTTTTGTTCCTTTTATCTGGGCGATTTCTTGAACTCCTTTACTCCGTACAACCTCTTCTCGAGTTTGACGAAAAATAAATAAATAAACGCGATTACAGCACAAAAAATTCCAAACCTGAACTTTCGAGCGAAGCTTTCCATTAGATTCAAAAATCTTGAATTCTAATTTGAAATTATTTTTTATCCTTATCGCAAGAATTATACGCATAAACACTACATCGCATTCGACAAAAACATTTGAATTCGGCAATGCTGTCAAAAGCACAGCAAATATTGTTCGTTATTTCTATCGTTAATTTTAGTAATAAATGAGAACTTCCTTCTGTTTAAACAACACAGAAGAAAGTGGACAAGTCATTCTAGACAGATGGCCAGCTTGTGTACTCTGAAGATGCACACACTTGTGTTATAGCAACTGTCTTTACTTTGACAATCTTTTTTAATTATTTTCGCTTCAATGTCACACGACTGTGAAATTATACCAGAAGTCTGTAAATAAAAAATATTGAATTTATGGACTTGTTAACACTTATGATCCCTTGAATCCTAAGCCGGTCTTGCCACAGAAAAAAAGTCTTCTTAATGAGCCTTAGCGCTTTATAAATTATTGTGGTTTTTAATGTGTCAGCGTAATTTTCCGAATGTCTGTTTCCTATATTGACATTATGACAAAAACAAACTTGGCTTAATGAAAGAAGATCCATTGCTCGATCTGGGTTCATATTCAACAACGTAACATTCATCGTTCAAACTGAAAGATATTCAGTTGAAAGCAATATGCAGGTGATACGGCATACAAATCCTCCATGAAAATGCAAATAATGTACAGCTGTATTCCAATCATACATAAACAAGTATAAAGATACAAGGTTTAGACGTTCCACTCATTATCCATGGCTATCTATTTTGTGTCGCCATTCACCACGAGTCTCCAATATTCCTAGCTTTTCTTTGGTTTTCAATATTCTTGATTTTTTAAAAAAAAAAAAAAACTCAAACGTTTAACATTCGGTGACCATTTTCAACCAGCCGTTAATCAACGTATCAATCGCTTTCGCGTCTTATACAGTTTATTCATCGGTGTTAAACAGACACTAAAATCGCTCAGTATTTTCACATTTCCTAGCAATATGATCAACGGAGTAAGGTACACGTATAATGCACACATCGCAAGAAGATACATGATATTATTTCAACGATGGCATCGTTTCAGAACAATATGTTTCTGTCTGAGAGATCACTTGTGTATGAATATAAATAAAAACAGGGCTTGTACTTACTTCAATTCACAACCAAGGTGATCTGATGTGTAAAAATGCAAAATAAAACCAACGATGGTTGACATACAAATTAAACACAGCACAGTTTTGCGACGAACCAGTGTTATTGCTATCATCGCAAACTTAACTCTCTTCCCGAGCAAATTGTATTTTTTACGCGGAAAATAATACAACCATCAATTAGCATACCATTTAAGTCACATATCAGGCGGTATCCGGCATAGTAATGACATTTTCAAAACATCTTGTCATAATAAAACACAGATGGAAAAAATTGGCGATCATAAAGATGTTGCCCAGAGTCAGTGAGGATAGCAAAAGGTCCAAGCGTGCCACGTGATGAGGAAAAAGTTATTTTCTTACTTTTAAGTTTTAAGAATTTGTCTCACACGATTTAAAGAACTAAAAAACGTAATTGGCATTATCATTCGATGCATTTTTTTTTTTTTTTTTTTTTTGCCCTTCCTTTTCATTGGCCGAGCACCCATTCTCGTCCCCACAGGCCGCGCTCCTTTTGGTCAGCACCAAGAATCGCGACCTCTGGCCAGGTCCATCACGGGAAGTCCGCGATTCACGGACTTCCCGTCACTCTGCGCATGCTCAGAGTCAAGTCTGACAAATCTGATAGGCTCCGGTCTCATTCTATTGTGTTTGCAAAGACATTCAGAACCAGAATCTCACTGGACCTATCCAGAGGTCGTGATTCTTGGTGCTGACCAAAAGGAGCGCGGCCTCTGGGGACGAGAATGCCGAGAGCCCACCACGCGACCTGTAAATAACTGCCCACCAATAATCGTCTGCTCATGCGTAATACCGTCTAAACGTGTTTTGCTGCAAATAATAATCTGCTCATGCGTAATTGAAACCGCGCTCTCGGGTGAAAAATATCAGATCGCTTCCTTGAGCTGTCAAAGAAAGCATACTTGGTGATCGCATGATAAAACAGTTATTGAACTCGCCACTGACAAAATTAATTACGATATTTTTCTCAACTTTGTCCAATATTTGTTAATTGTTCTGCTTCCACATCAGAAAATTTCCGATCGTTTGCATCTCTTTCTGTCAGACGGCTGATTTAGAATTTCAAAACCCAGTCCAGCCACTTTGTTTACCTTTTTGTATGTTGTTTTGTCTGTTTGTTTGTTTGTTTATTTGTTTGATTAGAACACCAAGCTACTCGGCTATTCGGCAGCCAAACATTCATACATTAATGGTGAGTTTAGACCAATTACATAATGTTCCTAGGCAGCTCTCGTCCGGAAAAGGCTGTATTGAAGGCCTGTAAATTAAGCCTCGTTCACACTAGCGACGTAACGACATAACGACATCGCCATAACGACATAAGGAAAAGATCAGTTTTATCTTTATGTCGTTATGTTCTTGCTGTTATGTTGCTTAATATTTCATTATGTCTACATGTTTACACTACAAACATAACGTCCTTTTTACGTCGAGATAACGTCCTTTTTATGTCATTCGTGACGATGTCGTTGTCACACACTCGTTATCTGTGTAGTCACGCGACACTTGCGTGACCATAGTGCCACCTTGTTTATAACTTTACCCCTAAATTGCTTTTGGCTGAATTTGTTCCATAAAGATACAATGCGTAAACCTTTCCGATTCAGCTCAAAACTAGTCCAGTATTTATCAACTGCCGTAAAGTTGTAATTACTTCTCATTTCAACACGGTTTTACTGGTACTGACTCGAAGAGACTCGAGCTCGGTAGCATATGATTTCTTTAAGTTATACACCTGCCACCTGCTTTCTTCGAATCATTAAGGGCCTTAAAACATCATCTATGAATAACAAACGGGAGTCCAGCCAAGTCAAAGACAAAACAGAGGCTTTTCTGAAAATTAAAAAGTTGATTGAAATGCTCCTGAATATAAGCTTACGTTGACGATTTAACACTTTGAGCCGAGCGCCAATGAATTCTAAACCTTATTTTGACAATGTTTGTGCCAAATTTCATATTATAGTCAACAAAGGAGCCGTTAAACAGAATTCTGTAAGGGAAACCTCAAATCATGCATAACAACAATGCCTAATTGTCTGGATGTCAGTCACACAGCAGAACTGTATTAAAACGTGAATTCAAATCCCTCAAGCCAAGGTTATTTCTTAATATTAGTTACCACATGTGAACTCGACAAAAATAAAATACGGTATTGTAAATCGCGAAACTGAAGAAGAAAGATGACAAAGCGCGCACTTTCGAACTCTCGAAATATTATTGACAGCTCTAAAATTGCCAGATAGATTAGACTGTGTGTCTCCTTCTTCTTAACTGTCGCCTCAGTGTTTCCAAATTGACTAACTCTAAAGCGTTTATTGCAGCAGAGGTGAAAGAGTTTACGTGGAAGTTACTTATGAAGAAATCCTTGACTTATTGAGGACGAAACTAGAACATGTTATTGTATGTTATCACTACATTTGCATCTAATAGATCGCAGTCAAAGAAAATACTCACCTTTCTGACGTGGTGGGGGATGCTATTTCGAGAGGACTACTTTCAAATACTAGAGAAATAAGTCCAAGAAGGAGGAGAAGGAGGAATATCAGCAGTAAAATCCATCTCCGAGGACGAATCATAATCATGGCGGTGTGATGGAGTAGATTGCCAGCCGTGAGGATCGTGTTACTCGCGTGACTAGAAATCGAGAGGTTAAGCATGACGTTTACGGCAACCGGCAAACGGCAAAAATGAAACTTTTGTCGTCTCTCTTCAGCTGTGTGTAAAATTAGAGTAAAATTATTTTTATTTGCAATGAATAGTGGGAGACGTTATTCCATTTTTGTGGGCTTTATTTACGGATTAGAAGAAAAGAACTGAAAATCAGAAGTTGCCTTTGCCGTTTGCCGTCTGCCGTTAACGTCATGCTTGAAGTGCCACTAACCCCCCAATTTTTTTTTTCCTTTAATAAAATCTTCTAGTTTCCGTGATTACTTCAGCGAAAAAATTTTCTCGATTGATAAAATCCCTGCGTTTCTACAGGCGTTTAAACATGTAATTTCTATGTTCACGAGCGCGCAAAGTGGGATCTGGGTCGGGCTACTAGTGACGTCACTTCGGGAACCGGGCTAATTTTGACTGAGCTTCGAGGGCAGTTAAAACATTTTTGGGTTATTTGTGATTCATATTTTATCAAAACTGGACAAGAACTTTAAGTGAAAGAACTGTATCATCTCGCATTACAATTAGGAGTCTAGCTACGATTTGGACGGCTGCAATGTACATATTTTTTTCAATTTCGAAGTGCGGGTCACCGTCGAGATCGCCGCGTTGTATAATTATATTTAGGTCGGGATCGACAATTTGCCGGTCCATTTGGGTTATAAAGGTACAAATAATGACTGAGGAGTTAGCTTAAAGTTCTTAAAGAGTTATAAAGATGTCAATGAACACGAAGAGTTGGTAATTTGACTTAACGGAACGTGCAAATTGCGGAGTGTCAAAACATATTTACATTCAAACATTAATTTCCCCCGGAACACAAGTTAAAATGCGATGCAGTCGTACTCCACTCCTGCCTACTTCTCCAGATCAATCATTGAAAATAGTTTTAACATAAGAGATAAGCAGAGATGCCGGCAAACAATATTCGAAGGTGAGGAACTTTTCGCTTCGTTATTGTCGACCGACCGTAGTATATGCATGGTCAATTACTGTGTACGAACACAAGCTACGCAAATTTGCATATTTCGTACTAGTGAAATCATGGAAAATCCTTCGACAAGATCTTGAAAAGAGGTTCAGTATACTTTCAATTAAATGAATACATTTCTACTTCACTGTCATTTTAAATGAAATGTCCATTTTACCTACGCTAATAACCTGGGAGTCCTCGACTTATTAGTTTGCGTTTCGGTTGACTGAGAAGTGCATTCGGGTTGGTACATTTCACTGACCCCTAGTCCATGGACTACCTCGATGGACCTGGCCCATGGACTACTTGAATGGACTAACCATGGACTACCCTAAATGGACCACCCTGAAATTTGTGGGAAACATAAATTTAACGATGCTAGAACCCGAACAAAAGATGCAATCGATCGACAAACACAATTACGGAACACTTGCGATGTAACAGATGAAGACGAAATCTCGCAAGATCAGTATCAATTCTTTAAGGGTGGATTTGCATCTCGCTTGATGGAATGACAGCTGGGCTTGTCGTCCTAAAAACTGGATCTTTAAAAAAATAATCTCGACCACTTTTGTCCACTATGGCTTTCCATACTTTTAAAGATTTATATCTCGCAAGCGCGAGCGAATTTAATTTATATTGCAACCCGAGCAAGAGTCGACCAGGGCCTCGTTTCTCGAAAGCCCCGGAAACTTTTCGGGTCCGTAAAGCCATTTTCATCTGTATCTAAAAACCGAGAAGTGTATACGCCTGAAACTTCTTCTATGAAGAGAACCTTTGTTCATATTAAGAATAGGTGAATAAAACAGCTCTGAAGTCATAAGCTTCGAGATTTTGCCATGGCCTTCCGGGTGCGAAAACTTTTCGGGACCTTCGAGAAACGGGCCCCAGGACAGCTCTTTGAGCTGGAATCAGGAGCTCTTCCGACAGTTTTGCCCACAGAATACATCAAAAGTCGAATTTATCAAATGTTTGTTCGCGCCAAGATCTGTAAACTACGAGGGAATGCGTCCATTGTCGTTATTTCGCCTTTGAGAAGTATCTTTCAAGACCAGCTGCTGGAGATGGGATCACTCGGCCATATCACTTGATAGCATCACTGTTGCCGATTGTACCATTTCATCTCTAAAGTTTGTTCGAAGCCGAAGAATTTATGGATTTTCACGGGACTTTACCTTAATTCCTCGCCTCTCTAGCCTGAGATATATATGTGACGTACACCCTGTAGATTAAAAGCTCAGTTCAGTAGTATCAAAATTTCCACTTTTAACAGCCGATCTATTTTCCAAGCTACATGTAAGTGGATTCTTTGTTTTTCAACTACAGGTTCTTGCCTTTCTCACAAGTTCCAGACTTCCCGCGGCCATATCGTCTTTAGCCGAAAATGACGACGACTAAGAATAAGCCATTTAGTCAGTAATCTGTTCGAAATAATGTTAGTCAGTAAACAGCAAAACGGAGATTAGTCTGGCAGTTAATTTAATTATATGATTTTCTAATTTTTATGAGCTTTGGATGACCTTCGTTGGCAAAATAAGTCATGATTGAAGCAAAATCAGCTTTTGAATTATTGAAACTCAGTGACGTAATTTGGAGGCGCGGTTGGTTAGTGTGCTCGACTCCGGTTCGAGCGGTCTGGGTTCTAGCCTAGTCGGAGACGTTGTGTTGTGTTCTTGGACAAGACACTTTAGTCTCACGGTGCCTCTCTCTACCCAGGCCGGTGTACAAATGGGTACCGGCGCCTGGGGTTCGAGTGCTAGGGTCCTGCACTGAACTAGCAACCCATCCAGGGGCGAGTAG